AAGACTTACTTTTAAAAAATCTGTCACAATAATGGACAGTACAGTACAGAACATACAGCAGTTATGTATAGCTCAGTATAATATTCAAAGTATACATAGGAAAAAATCCTTATTGTCTAAAATTTTAGATGAGCAAAATGTTGATATCTGTCTACTCAATGAAACTTGGCTGAAAGATACTCAGCATTTTAACATTTCGGGATATAATTTCCACTATCATAATGCCCAAAATGAACATGGTGGAGTAGCAATTTTGATCAAACCGTATTTTAAATATAATATTATTCAAACCAGATTTTACCAAGACATTCAGACTGTGGCATTATGTAAGTGGTAAACAATTAACGATTTTATGTGTATACTGCTCTCCATCGAATGGTAACTTCAGAATAAGTAAACTGCGTGATATAATTAGAGATTTGCCTAAGCCAATATATGTGGCTGGAGATTTCAACGCTCACCATGTGGCATTTGGGTGTATGACCACGAAAAGTCGGGGTCATCAGTTATACGATTTAATTGATGAATTTGATCTATGTGTCCTCAACAATGGTAGCTTCACTACTATTAATTATCCTAACCGAAATCCATCGGCTATTGATGTCAGCTTTTGTAGTGCTTCAATCACTCCACTATGCGAATGGTGGGTGCATGATGATTGTATGGGGAGCTATCATTTTCCTACCCTTACTCGTATTTTATTGTCAGTTGATAGATACCAAATTAATCCTCCCATTGAAAAATTCTTATACAACAAGACAGACTGGACAAAATACAATGAGCTGTCTATAACTGCTTTTTCTAATTTTGAAGTTAATAATGAGAATCCATTACAGTCATATGATGAATTTATTGAAAGGCTTGATACACTTAGGAGAGATACTGTGCCAAAGTTTGTCAAAGCAAACAACTATCGTTGCAAACCTCCAGCACCTTGGTGGAGTGACACATGTGAACAGAGTGTTATTAAAACTTATGAAGCTTTAAAACTGCACAGAAGAGATCCAACCATTGATAATTACATTAATTACAAAAGACTTAATGCTGTTAAGAAAAAGACTATTTCAGAACATAAACGCAATGGTTGGGCTAACATCTGTAATACTTTTAACAGAACTACACCTGTTAGTATTATTTGGAAATACATCAAGTTATTTAAACAAATAAAATGCAATAATAGAACATATAAAGACGAATTTGTAGTCCCTCTTTTAGACAAATTATCTCGAAATGGATGTAGGGTTATTGATAATCTAGAAAGTTATTTTCGAATTAATAATAGTCTTCAGAAGTCCAGTTTCCTCATAGAACCCTTTACTTGGAGTGAGTTTTGTACAAGTTTACAATCCAGACGAAACACAACCCCTGGTTTAGATAATTGTCCATACATTTTGATCAAAAACCTAAATCAGTCCGTACAAAAGAAACTATTAGCTAATCTTAATGCTCTTTGGCACTTAAAAAAAATTCCTGAATCTTGGAAAACACAGTGTATAATCCCTCTACTTAAGCTTGACAAGCCACCTGAAGATCCTAATTCATATCGTCCTATATCTTTGTCATCTTGTGTTGGAAAGCTTAATGAAAACATGATAAAGATGCGTCTTGAGTGTTATGTAGAGGCGAACAACATCATTCCACATGTTCAATATGGCTTCCGGAGAGGCAGAAGTTGTGCTGACAGCTTCATCTCTCTCTTGTCAGATCTGAAATATGCCAATAATAATAATAAGTCCAGTGTTTGTGTTTTTCTGGATATTGAAGGTGCGTTTGATAATGTAGATCCTGGCATTTTGGTTCAAGTTCTTTCTGACATTGGTATACCAGGCATACTTTGCCATTGGTTATTTAATTTTTTAATAGATAGAACTTTGTATATAAGGCATAATAATATTCTCCATGGTCCCAGAAGGGTCTCCAAAGGTACAATGCAGGGGGCTACATTATCTCCATTGTTGTACAACATATACACTAGTCAAATTCTTAATTTTGTAAATATAGAAGGTGTAAATATTTTACAATTTGCGGATGATCTTGTAATATATTGTACAGACCATAATGTAGATAGAGCTGTAAATAGTATAAATAATGCTTTAGAGCAATTGTACATATATTATAATGACAAGTTGGCTCTACAGATTAACCCTAACAAAAGCAAGGCCATGATTTTTAGTAAAGATTTTCCCTCTAATGGCATACTCTACAATAATCATCCAATTTCAGTTGTATCTAACCATAAATTCCTGGGTGTTGTCATTGATAACAAACTTTGTTTTGATTTACACATCAATCACATTATAACTAACTCTCTTAAGGGCTTAAATATTATAAGATGTTTAGCTGGTGTGACTTGGGGTGCAGACCCCAAAGTTTTAAGTATGCTATATAAATCTATAGTCAGAAGCCATTTCGACTACAGTTGTTTAGCCTACTCAAATAGTAGTTGTGTAAAAAAACTAGACATAATTCAAAACAAAGCTCTGCGAATTATTTCTGGGGCTATGTGTTCAACTCCCATACGAGCTATGGAAGTTGAAACCAAAATAATGCCACTGTGTCTTAGAAGACTTTTGCTAATAGAGAGATATTTACTAAAGCTGGTATCTGGTAATGATAATGTTCTCAAAAAAATAGTACCTTTTCCTTTACAATGCTCGGTCCAGCAGACTTCGGGAGGTGAGCTTTTACAAGGTTATTTTCCAGTTTTGCCTCTCATTGTACAGCAAATGAATGAAGATTTTAAAAATGTAATTAAACAATCAAAGTGGACATGCTACACATACCCATATTCCTGTATTATATTTGAGACCAATATTGTTACCAAAAATTTTTTTAATAATTGTGAATTATTAAGTTTTATTTCCGACAATAACTACTATACTTTGTATACAGATGGTAGCAAAAGTGAGCTCTTTGTGCGCAGTGCTGTTTATGATCCACAATGCAAGTTTGGTCAAAGTTTTCTTCTGGACCCTAAATGCAGTGTTTTCACTGCAGAGGTATATGCGGCCCTCGAGGCCCTGAAGAGGATTGCACATATAAATAGTTTTAATAATTTTTTAATTTTAACAGACAGTTTAAGTATGGTCCAAAGTTTAACTAATCTCAGATTTGACTTTAAAAAAAACTATATTTTGTATAATATTAAAAAATTGTTATTTAGTTATGCAAAAAAGGGTATACAGGTCTCTTTCATGTGGATTCCATCACATAGGGGCATAACAGGAAATGAGATAGTAGATAAAATTGCACGTGATGGAACCAACATGTTGGATGTTAGCTCCATAATAAAAGTACCTTTGACCGACTGTTATCAATCTATTGACAACCAGGTCAATAGCTTATGGGTCGAATTTTGGAAACAAGATCAAGAACAGAAGGGTAAATGGTATGGAACTGTTCAAGAAAAACTACCTGCAGCACCATGGTATAACAAACTGAAAATGGCCAGTCGGGACTTTGTTACCACTATAAATAGACTGCGCTTTGGTCACTCCACCGTCACGGCCCACCTGGCTCGATTGGGCATATTAGAGAGCAGTTACTGCACCTTCTGCAATAATTCTGTTGGTGATATCGAACATTTCATATTTACATGTGAGTGCTTTTCATTTGACAGATTGATTCTTGCACAGAACACTAATACGGTAATACCCTTAAGCGCTTATTACATTACTCAATTTTTAGGAAATCTAATTAGGAAATTGGAAAGTGTAATCATAGTTAGAACAGTTAGGATCCGATTTATTTAAAGTTGGAGGTCCTGACCGCTCTACTTTCTAAATTGTCTACAATTTAGGACAGTGTAATCGCAACGTTACGATTTAGAACGGACAGTCGGGGCCCGCGCTTCGACCTAAGTGGGTGTCTTGATTGCGCGTGCGACATTTTTTTGCGATGGCGAGTGAAGCGACAGAACTGAGCAGTGGTTCGTGTGGCAGCATGTCCACAGAAAAAGAGGTGTTATTACAAATTATAGACCTGTATAGCGTAAATGACCTATTTGTATAATAAAAATGATGAAAACTATTTAAAAAAAGCAATGCGTGAAGAAGGCTTCAAGGTGTTGTTAAATATTTACAAATACAATGACAAGTATTCCTTAACCCATTGTTCATATTACAGTTAATATCCATTGTTCCCACCACGGCTAAGGCAAGTCCTATTTTCTGCTGTTTTGATAAATACGGCGCCATCGATCAAACGTGCAACCCCGTCGATACTTCTTTTACGAATGTGCTTCGTCACGATTTAGAATTCAATTTAGTGTAATGTGATCACTAGCTTCCAACTTAGGTTCCTAATTAGATTTTCTAAAAATTGGATAATGTAATAAGCGCTTTAGGCGGGAGTGAAATTAGTGACATAGTGCAAAATCAAGTGACAGTGCAAGATCCCTCCCGCCGCCTGAGTGATATGTTAAAAAATAGATCCTATTACGTGCCTCTATATAAATTCATCAAAAATACAGTGGGGAAATTATAATAAACCGAATAAAAATACTCAAGACTTGGCCTAAAGGTCTAGATGCCAGGCCTTAACTCCAAAAAAAAAAATCAAGTCATCAAGTTCAAGCAAAGCAAAATCAAAACCTATACATTTAAATTAAAACCCACAAATTTTACTAATATTATGTCTAAAAATTCTCAAATATCAAATACTTGGCTCAAATATATATTTTAATAATCTGTGCCAATAACTAAAAACCTCTGAAAACACGGAAAGAAAACCGATTGCTTTAAAGTGTACTTATTTTTTAATTTTCTTGGTTTGTTTATTTTTACTTTGTTATACAATTTTTGAATAATTTATAAAATATCTATTAAAGGGGCGTACATATATCTTATTGTTAAGTATTTTGTTTTAAATGTAATGATTTAACAAATTTAAATCAAAGATTTGCTCTAAATTTTTAATGATCTTGCCAATAATTGTTTGTTTTTTATTATTTTACAGTCCAGAATTCGATATCTATATACATTATTATTCATCTCGTCGTCATGGCGGGACAGGGTCACCAGTTTCCAGGCAATTTTCAAGGTAATGCTGGTGCTATGAGAACCGGTTATGGTGGAGGGCCTATGGGGGGCCCAATGCAAGGGATGCCTAACCAGTTAACAGGTAATCTATTTTTTCTATGAAATCTCAGGCCCACTAGTCAATCATACGTTGGCAGTTCCATAGAAAATAAAAGTTGTTTTTAACACAAGAAATAATATTGCGACTCAACAGTTTAATACTGATAATTCATCAGAATCTGACATACAATTACAAATATATTCTGTTTCTAGCTATTTTAGTTTTATTAACTTTATGTTTTCAGGTGTAATGGCAGGTCCTATGGGTAATGCAGGCATGGTTGGTATGGGAAATCAGATGGTGCCACCATATGGAGCTGCTATGCAAAATCAAATGAGTAATATGGCAATGGGGCCTCAAGTGAGTATTTGTATTAATTTTTTTTCAGATCGCAGAAGTCCTAAAACTCAAATGATGTTTATATAAAGGAGAGGAACTTGATCCCATATAAGCTTGGGCCCGGAGTGAAAAAATAGGTCTTAGATTGAAGATTTAAACATTTGCTATTTATGTCAAAAAATCATATTATATAGGACCAGGGGTTTTATTTTTATTTTATGTTTTATGATTTGTAGGTTATGTAGTAAAATCACTCGTATTTGTGATAAGTTGTTTGAATAAATCGAACAAGAACAAAGAACACATAATAATGCTGTTTTGTAGTTATTATTAAATAAAGGAGACCTTTTTAATGTTGAACTATTTTCTGCTATTATTAATAAATCATCCAGATAAGCAGCCAGTGGTTTTACATTATTCCATTCATCTCAAAACTAAATTACCACATTATTGTCATTATGTGGGTGCAACAACCTATTGTCCTGTGATCCAAGAGGAAAGCCAAGGGTCAAGGTAAATAAATCCACTGGAGTAAAAACACAAAATCTATCCAAAAACAGTCACAATGCCAAATGGGCATAAGGCATGACAAGTTGAAACTCGAAGTTACCACGTCTCCTTCGGAATAGGCAATGATCAATGACCATACAGCTTATTCAATCATGTAGGGTAATATTCAAATGTTTTTTAGTTAATAACATAGCCTATTCAATTGTTTTCTAAATATAATTTATTCAGTATTATTCACAGCAGATTCGCCTCAATGTTTCAATATTATGATTTTTTTTGGATAATGAACAGTATTTTATAATAAAAATAGCCTTAATTATCTATTGCTATAGACAAAATACAGAAAAATATTGAAAAGGTTTCATTTTTGTTATAGTAACAACACTAGCTTGCAGTTTTCAGTTTTAAAGAATGTTTTATGATTGTCCCAAGTATTACAGAAATAATAACATTTTATTTATATTTATAATTTATCGTTTTACGAATGATATCCAACACCCAATTTCAAACATCTCCTTGTACTTTAATTTATCAATAGGAATACCCATATAAAATAATTGCTTCTTATTTATATTTATTTATATTTCTACACTGTTCCTAATGCCTACATGACATTATATCATTTTGGGTATATGTTATGTGGTAGAGTTTCTCTATGGCTGTATTATGGCTGACAGAAGTAGGTCAGCTCAAAAAAGAAGAGAACACCCTATCATGTCATATTGTCTGAAATAAAAATGATTTATAATGATGCCATGGATTATGCTGAGATCCAGAGTCTCTTTTTACTGGTAATGAGGTGTAATGACCATATTCACAATATTTATATGTGGTAGAGCCATCATCATTTATTTTCATCAAGTTTGGGTGCAGCACTATGATATGTATAATGTTACTGTGCGTACACATAACATTGATTGGGGCGCTGTGATTTGTCAATGTTTCAATGCAACTTTGTTTAAGTTGACTAACAGTTTGTCATTGTGAATTATAATTAAATTCTCTCTTCATATACTTTGAGTGTATTGACATAGGAGACATCCATTAATTACTTGAGGTAATTTTGTCGATTTTTCTAACCTTCCCCTTGCCCTGGTGAGATATCGTAAAATTTGGTTTGATCACCCGCCATCTCCAAAGATGGGTATTTTTAATGTAAATACGCTAATCTGTGCTTAATTGTGTTAGATTTGTTTAAAAAGATTATTTTCATATTATAATTTCAAGTTTCCATAACCTTGAAAAATCTTATTGTGTAAACTTTTTTTTAAGCTTTTGATTTTTTAATCTGTATTTGAATATGCAAAACAAATATACACGTCTAGATACTTCTGGCCAAAGTTTAACCAGCACCTACACACATCTTTCTCAGGGAGCATCTGTTAAAGCTCCTAAAAAAATTAAATAAAAATCACTTGGGTAATTAACATAATTTGCTATGTTTTCAGGGCATGGGGGTGGGAGTTGCAGGGGGCCCTGGTCCTGGAATGGGTCCACAAGTTGTCCAACAGCCAGGTTTAGTATTTATATTTTGGTTATTGATATATGTTTACACATGTTACAATTACTTCTGCTAACCAACCCATGCTCAATATAACACTTGTGAAAAGTTAGGTTAGGTAAAAACAAAAATACATTTTTTTTATAAACTATTTTTACTATAGGGCAAACAAAGACATCTATAAAATTCCACCTAAAAGAACAAATAAATAAACCTAAAAGAAAAAACGTGGTACAGCTATGCTGCAGCTATATTAGTAGTATAATTGTAGCACGAATGGGTCGGCTCGACCGGGGAAGGACCACGCTCTCACAGAAAACCAGCGTAAAATAGCAGCTTGGCGCTGCTGTGTTTCGTATGGTGAGTGTAGAGAACCGGAGACTCTTTTTACTGGCAAAGAGGCATTCCATCGTAGTCCTCACGGGTGACAACGCATCTGCATCTTGAGTCTTTATTGAGGATAGATGTAGATGTCTATGGGTCACAGTAACCACTTACCATCAGGTGGACTGTGTGCTCGTTTGTCACCCTATCCTATAAAAAAGAAAACAAAGAATAGTTAATGTGAAACAACAATGCTCCGGAAATCTGTAGTTTGTGATCTAATCCAGAAGGCCCCCATAAATATATTAGATTTACATTAACAATTTAAAAATATAAATTCAATACAAAAGTAAGAAATATTTTTAACTGTTAATTTTATTTGTTAAAAAATTAACAAATAACTTTTAACAAATAAATAAATTTAACCATAAACGCCACGTCTAGAATGGATGTTCCCTCAATCGATGGTTTGATTACAATACAAAACAGACAATTGAATAATCTATTGGCGCAACTCACATACTTAATAACAGCAGTCGTAACGTAAGTAGTTACAAATAATAATAATATGTTAGTGGCGCACAGACAGCGCAAGCGTACCGCACGCCCGCCGCACTATCTCGACGGACTCGCGGACGAGTCCTGCCACCTACTACACAACTAATACAACTAAAATTTTCAATAAAACTGGAGTGGCAGTCAACTTACAGTCCACCTGAAGGCTGAAGGTAAGTAGCTGCAGTCCATGGCCACCTGCAGGAAACTTCAAACAAAGAAGAATACAGATGCATGTTCACCTCTGCGGACTAAGGTGAAATGTCTCACATCATGTACTTATACTGACTATATATCCTTCAGACTGGAACGTAGAGTGCAAGTAACTGCTATTTGGCGACAGATATAGTTAAGGAGGGACCAGAACAACTCCCAGGCAGAATACGACCTACATTGTTGAAAAATCATTACAATGTTATGTTTATTCCTTGTTTGAAAATATCAAGGATTCACATAAATTTTCCATTATTTTAAAATTTAAGAAAACTGATAATTTTCAAGAATGAATTCTAATTATTTGTTTAATATGTATTGGATGTACGTATTTTTAAAGGAATATGCAATTAACTAACACCCATTAGTGTTAGTTAATGGCATATTCCTTTGGAATTGGATAAACCGTAAATTTACATACGAACACTGCTTTTTGGTGGCATAAATAGTTAAGAGGGAGTTAGGGCTTCTGCCTAGAGTCCTAAGTAGTTCATATTTAGGTAAGACTATAAACATATATATTATAAATATGTTCGCGCCAAGCGCTAGTTTCAAGGATTGACGCGAGAGGGCGCTCGGCGCGGTGCATTCATACCGGTTTGACTTTCGGTCGTGCGAAAAACGCACAAGGGCAGGCAGTCGTCCTTAGGCAGTGCTCACGATTGGCACTCTGTCATTCTGTTAGGGAACTCGGAATAATTAGGTGCGGCCCGTAAATATACGGTCTAGGATTTTGTGACTTATTGGGTCCGACTCAGAATCTGTATAAGTGCATTCGACAATATTAGCTAGTGCGGCGTCTGATATTCTAGAACTAACTGTTGCAACGCGAAACGGTAGCGACCTTTGGTCCAGAGGCTCCGTGTGCGTTTTGTGCGGTAACCTTATACCCCGCGATAGTTAGTGGCTTCTGTAAGTTAGTTAATTGCACGATAGAGTTAATTGACTGTCATCGTGACGAAAGAGGAAAGTGATTGTGGTCCGGCGCCGAAGTAGTCTGAAGCGGTGCAGCATTTTGGAGCAGCCTGGAACTAGGCCGCGGCTGGTCGCCTATGCTTGACAAGGCCCCAAACATTCACACCTCACTGTACACTACTCGCCATCCACTATTACACACACTCACGGCCTGCCCAAGCCTTAGTGCGAAGTTAGCTTCGGATAATGGTAAGTACTATGTCTTTCTAACGTCCTCCCATCTGGTTTATTGTAATTAGGAATTTCCACGTGGCCACATTGAGGCCCGACCTACGTCTGCTCGGGAAGTCTTCAGCTCATGGGCCCCTGAGGGTTTGACCCTTTAAGGGAGCAGCCTTAGGCCGTAACAACTGGTAGCAGAGCGTGGTTCCGGGTTCGATTCCCCGGTCGCTCCCGACCATAGTGTTTGATAAACATTAAACAATTCTGGTGGCAGGGAGCGTTGGTTTGATTGGTTTAATTTGTATCTACAATCACGCCCGTCCGTAATACGTAAAAATATTTTTTTTGTACGTAATAATAAAATTATTTCCCTTTGTTGTTTGTTGCTTGCCTTTTTTTTTTTGGTTAGTGGGTAATTTGAAAAGCCGCGCCCTAGGTTGCGCAAGCGGGAGTTTTTCTAGAGATATACGTCATGTAGGTAGATGGTTATTTTTACGTAATCGGTTAATTATCGTTGTCGGATAGTTGTAGTGGATTACTTATCGAAGGGTCGATTTCCGAGCTAGGCATTTTTTGTTGATCGACCGTGATGTGTATGTGATGTATTGTAATTTGTATTTGAACTAAAGAGTAGTAATTGTATTTGCGCAATTTGAATTTAACTTGATTTGATCGCACTAGTACTTGTTATTTGTTAATTTGATTTGTGTCTTTTCTTTTGTGCTAACTTGTATTTGGTTGATACGTAGTAATTCGTATTTGTGTAATTTCTATTCAACGCGATTTGATAGGAACTGCATTTATTAACTGTTAATTTTTGTTGTATTTTTTATTTGTTATCTTTGTAATTTGTGCTCGAGCAGCGTCGTTATTTGTATCTAGTAGTGATGTCATCGCCCAAGCTACTAATCCGTTGCCTGCGGACTGAGCTACGCTGGGCCACAAGCGCCCATGCTTTGATAGGTCGACCGGATAGGGTCCATAACTTGATGAAGCGGTTCGAGCAGGTGGATACTCGAAGGGCCGCAGTGGAGGAGGCTTACGCTGAGCACGAGGATTCGGATGTGGAGAAGGGAGTCCTGGACTCCTGCTACTCGGACTATGAGCAGTTCTTGTGGCTCACGGACGAGTTGATCGAGGCTGAAGGCAGGTATGCCGAGGAGGCGCGTGAAGCTCGGATGAGTGACCTGTCCGAGTCCTCTCTGAAGCAGCTTCAGCCGGAGCTGTTGGGACGACTCCCAACTCTGGACCTGCCAAAGTTCTCCGGGGTCCTTTCCGAATGGCTGACCTTCGTTGGTCTTTTCGACAGCCTAGTGGACGCCCGGAGTGACTTGACCCCGAGCCAAAAGATGGTGTACCTCCTGGCCTCACTGGAGGGGGAGGCCCTGGGCGTCGTCGGCCACTTGAGATTGTCGGACGACGCCTACCAGACTGCTCGGGACCTCCTAGTCAGAAGATACGCCAACGTCCGGCGAATTGCGGACGAACATGTTAAGCAGCGTCTAAGCCTCCCGCTGCTTAGGGACCGGGCCAGACTGCGTCCGGACCTGTTGGATCCAGTCTTGGTGGCCTGTAATACGTTGAGGCGGCTGGGTTTACCAGTGGGCGAATGGGCCTTTTTGTTGCTCCGCATCGTGCTGTCCCGTCTACCTCTCGACCTTCGAATCCATTTTGAGGAGAGGTACAGCGGGGACGAGGCCTCCTATATTCCGCCCTTCTATGACCTGCTGCGGTTTTTGGAGGAGCAGTGCCGGCAGATAGAGAACGCGGCGGGCACCGTTGACGACTTACGAGCCGTGCCCAGTGAGAGGCTGAATCCTCCAGGCAAGTCGTCGTCAACCCCCCCCCCCCCCTGCTCCTATTGTCGAGCGTCTGATCATCGGGTAACGTCGTGCCCGAAATTATTAGGTAAGCTGGTTTCGGCGAGGCGAACTATCGCCAAGGAGCGCCGCTGGTGCTGTTCATGTCTGGGAGGGCACCTCCAGCGAGACTATCCGCATCGACGGCCCTGTCTGCATTGCCAGGGCAAACACCATGCAGTTTTGTGCCTGGGTGCGAACGGCGTCTCCTCTCCGGGCTCTGCCGGGCCCTCGACCCCCACGGGCGGGGGCGCTCAGCCACGCCCTCTGCCGGGCGACAATTGGCGCCCGCCGGCCAGCCACCAGGCCCCTAAGTTTGAAAGGGGCCCCTCCCCCGACCAGTCGGGGGGTAATTCCCCCAAGGGCGGGGGTGTCATCACCCCCCCTCAGCGTGTGGAGAGGAACTTCACGGCCACTCATCGGTCCGCTGGACCCTTCTCACTCCCGTTAGCTGAGTGGCCGCGACTGGTGTACCACTGTTCCCTATTTGATGGAGGCGGCCCTGGCTAGCTGCCGCCTTAGCTCCCACCACGGCCACCTCCACTGAGCCTTAAGCCGTCAACAGTGCACTTGTCAAAAAGTTCTGTTGCCGACGGCCTCAGTGAAGGCGTACAACCCGAGTGGCGACTGTTAGCGGTTATACAATACAATACAATACAATACAATTTATGCTCTATTGATTTCGGGTTCACGCCATGTGGCCTCCCCTTGGTGGTGGGAAGATTAGGGCCCCTCTGGAACGTTAAATCACGCTGTCAAGGGGTATTAGATTTGGTTTGGTCAAGCACTTAGTCAAAAAATACTTGAATTAAAATTAAAAACTGCTTTGGGCTTTCCGCGAAATTTTCCTATTTGTAGCGGTTTAAATTAAAAGAATTGAATTTAATCTACTCCTTTAAATGCTACTGCATGTGTTTTGTACATATATTTAATCACTGTATTTGATTGTTGCGTCTGTTTGCTGAAAGGAAAATTTGAATTCATTTGAAATTGAATGGCGCGCTATTTGAAAAATTATGTATATGTTTATGATAGTGTTTAATCCTTTTGCTTTGTGAAGAAGTAGGGCTGTCCCTCACGTTATTGTTTTGTTTAATTTGCAAGTTGACCTATGCGCATCGGTGATTAATTTGGTTGAATTAATTCTGTAGTTGAACATTGATGCTTTTGAAAAATTAGTTGAAATATGAGCATAGGACTACTTGCCTAACAGGCTAGCTAGTTTTGGAGATTATCAGATTGAAATCAGCTGCCGCACTATTTTAGTAAATGATAATATGGTGGGTGGCCTGGCTAGGCCTACTTGTTGAAAATTCATACTAGGGACTATCTGTGCGTTTCGTTCGGCTCTCCACAGACGACGTTCATGTGGAATTTGTGGGTGCTCTCTGCGCTGAAGTTTAGGAGGCCGCTCTGGGCCGCTTCGTGTCGCGTCGCTGTTTGCAGACCTGATCCGGTCGGATTGCGGAACTAATCGTAGGGGCACAGATAGGTGTTGAAAGAGATCGTCGGACTTCTGTCCAGAATAGGACTTATTTATGGGCTGCGATGTCCAGGAAGGACATCTAGTTCAACCCTCCGGCTTGCCCACGTTGGGGCGGTAATTTTGAGGCGTTGGTTAGAGTTGCAAGATCTGATGGGGTGCCTAAGGTGGCCTAGTTTGGTTGTAGATTCGGTCTTGCAACTTGCCGTCGCGACCTTGTCCCGCTGACCGGTTTGCTCGCGGACCTAAATCCTCATGTCCGGGACGGGGGTTTGTTCGCGCCAAGCGCTAGTTTCAAGGATTGACGCGAGAGGGCGCTCGGCGCGGTGCATTCATACCGGTTTGACTTTCGGTCATGCGAAAAACGCACAAGGGCAGGCAGTCGTCCTTAGGCAGTGCTCACGATTGGCACTCTGTCATTCTGTTAGGGAACTCGGAATAATTAGGTGCGGCCCGTAAATATACGGTCTAGGATTTTGTGACTTATTGGGTCCGACTCAGAATCTGTATAAGTGCATTCGACAATATTAGCTAGTGCGGCGTCTGATATTCTAGAACTAACTGTTGCAACGCGAAACGGTAGCGACCTTTGGTTCAGAGGCTCCGTGTGCGTTTTGTGCGGTAACCTTATACCCCGCGATAGTTAGTGGCTTCTGTAAGTTAGTTAATTGCACGATAGAGTTAATTGACTGTCATCGTGACGAAAGAGGAAAGTGATTGTGGTCCGGCGCCGAAGTAGTCTGAAGCGGTGCAGCATTTTGGAGCAGCCTGGAACTAGGCCGCGGCTGGTCGCCTATGCTTGACAAGGCCCCAAACATTCACACCTCACTGTACACTACTCGCCATCCACTATTACACACACTCACGGCCTGCCCAAGCCTTAGTGCGAAGTTAGCTTCGGATAATGGTAAGTACTATGTCTTTCTAACGTCCTCCCATCTGGTTTATTGTAATTAGGAATTTCCACGTGGCCACATTGAGGCCCGACCTACGTCTGCTCGGGAAGTCTTCAGCTCTTGGGCCCCTGAGGGTTTGACCCTTTAAGGGAGCAGCCGTAGGCCGTAACAAAATATTTGTAATGAAATTTTCCCTGCTGTTTTAGAAAATAAAATACTGCTGTTGTCAATCTATTAGCCAAGTGTGGCAACAATGGCAAATATTCTACAATCGCAGTCAAATATAAGGGAGCAGTCAAGGTGTTCAAATATTTTGAAACAGTTAATGTAATCATTAATATTCAACCATACATCATCATCATCATTACAGCCTTTCATAAGTCCACTGCTGAACATAGGCCTTGCTCAAGGAATGCCACAAAGCACGGTCCTGAGCCACCTGCATCCATCGACTTCCTGCATGTCTTACCAGGTCGTCACTCCATCTCGTGGGGGGTCGCCCTACACTTCGCCTACCGGTACGAGGCTGCCACTCAAGAACCCTTCTTCCCCATCGGTTATCGGTTCTTCGAGCTATATGGCCGACCCACTGCCACTTCATCTTACTAATCCGTTGGGCTATGTCGGTTACTCTGGTTCTACTGCGGATATACTCATTTCTAAGTTTATCACGCAGAGAAACTCCGAGCATAGCTCTCTCCATAGCTCGCTGAGCGACCTTGAGCTTCCTCATACGGCCAGCAGTGAAGGACCACGTCTCAGATCCGTAAGTCATCGCTGGTAATACGCACTGGTTGTACAATTTCGTTTTAAGGTTTTGAGGTATGTCTGACGAGAAGATGTGTCGTAGTTTCCCGAACGCTGCCCAGCCGAGTTGAACCCGTCGATTGACCTCGGTCGAAGTTGGACTTACCTAGTCGGACTATTTGTCCCAGGTAAACATACTCGTCAACAACTTCGAGCTTAGTGTTCCCAACAACTACCGGCATAGGTGTGACATGGACATTAAACATGATCTTTGTTTTGTCCATGTTCATCTTAAGACCTATCCGTTGGGAAACACTATTGAGGTCATTAAGCATAGTGCTTAGGTCCTCCAGCGATTCTGCCATAAGGACTATATCGTTGGCAAATCGAAGGTGAGTGATGTACTCGCCATTGATGTTGATACCGTATCCTTTCCAGTCCAGAAGCTTGAAAACATCTTCCAATGCAGCGGTAAAGAGTTTCGGGGATATGACGTCACCCTGTCTTACACCTCTCTGCAATTGGATAGGTTTCGTACTCTGGTTCTGTACTCGGATAGCCATCGTAGCCCTACTGTACAAGCACTTCAACACTTCGATATACCGACAGTCAACTTGGCATCGCTGAAGGGCCTGCAGCACCGCCCAAATTTCGACGGAATCAAAGGCTTTCTCATAGTCCATATACGCCAGACATAGTGGCAAATTGTACTCCTCGGACTTCTGTACAATTTGCCGAAGGGTATGTATGTGGTCTATGCTGCTAAAGCCTTTTCGGAAACCGGCTTGTTCGGGAGGCTGGAAGTCGTCAAGTCTGCGCGCGAGACGATTCGTAATGACTCTCGAAAACAGCACGTAGACGCGGCTCAGAAGGGAAATCGGTCTGTAGTTCTTCAAGAGAGCGTTGTCGCCTTTCTTGAAGAACAAGACCACCGCACTTCTGCTCCACGCCTCCGGTGTAATGCCACCATGGAGGACGAAATTAAAGAGCTTCTGAAGGACTTCAAGTACCGGTTTTCCACCCGCTTTCAGAAGCTCCGCCGTAATTCCATCCTCGCCTGGGGCCTTGCCGTTTTTAAGGTGCTGGAGAGCCATTCTAATCTCGCTAAGACTGACGTCCGTGATATCATCGGAATAATATCGGATAAGACTCGCTCTTGGATCGTTACTCACACTTGCGTGCGGCTCCAACGACGTGTACAGCTGCCCATAGAACCTCTCAATCTCACTCAAAATCTCAGGTGCCCCGGAAACGATGCTGCCACATTCGGTCTTCTGCTTTGACAGTCGGCTCTTTCTGGCAGACAGATCTCTGGCAAAGACTTTGGAGCCTTGGTTCCGCTCGATCGCTTCTTCAATACGAGCTGTATTGAAGTTGCGTAAGTCCCGCCGCATGCATTTGGAGATCTGTCTGTTCAGTTGCCTGTATACTGTCAAATCTGTTGAAGAATGTAGCTTCATCTCCCGTCTAACAGCCATGAGATTAAGAGTGTGATCGGAGAGTTTTTGTGTTCTTCTGCGGCGGGTCTTGCAGAACTTAGCTCCGATCGCATGGACAGTTTCCACGAGCTTGTCATTCAAATCGTCCACTTCATTGCAGTCTTCTAGGCACTGAAAACGGTTTTGTAACTCGAGCTGAAAGGTTTCAGGACCTTGGATTAGAGCACGAGGGGGACGGAGCGTTGACTTCATTAGACGAGACCTCTCCAACTTAACGTTTAGGTTCAGTGTGCCTCTAACCATTCGGTGATCGCTGCCGGTTTTCACCCTCGCGATCACTGAGACATCACTGAACAGTTGTCGTCTGGTCGTCATAATGAAGTCAATCTCATTTTTTGTCGAACCGTCGGGGCTCGACCAGGTCCACTTCCTGTGGGGACGCTTCTGGAAGAAAGAATTCATCATAAAGAGTCCCTCTTTCTCCATGAAGTCGGCCAGCTGCTGGCCCCTTGGGTTCCGTTGCCCTATTCCAAATTTCCCACTTTCAGCTCACCGTTTTCTCTTGTGCCTAGTTTTGCATTGAAGTCTTCCATTAACACCGTATATTGGGTTTTGGAGGAATGCATGGCTCTAGAGATATCCTCATACATTTCCTCCACCTCCTCATCGGGGTGTGCTGAGGTTGGTGCGTAAACCTGTATGACCTTCAGCGAATACCGTTTGGTGATTCTGAGTATAAGGTACGCAACCCTCGTCGACACACTCAATCTTTACAACGTTGTTAACGAGAGACTTGTGGACGATAAATCCGACACCTCCTTGGGACAGATGGTCGCCCTCCCGGTAATAGAGCAAGTTGCCGGAGTCGAGGATTACCGTGTCCTCCCCCTCTCTTCGGACTTCGGATAATCCTATAATATGCCAGCGTAACTTGTCTATCTCTTCTTCCAGCTCCACAATCTTCTCGTCAGTCCTCAGGGTGCGTGCGTTGTATGTTGCCAGGTCAAGTCGTCGTAGGTGGCAACCGAACCTCCACTCTTAGCACCCCCTGCCCCGCCGTTACCATGGTCGCCACCGTAGCCAGGAATAGCGGGGCCGCCGGGGACTGGGGGCCGTTTCTGTGTTACTGTCATTCATGGGGGGTATTTGCCATAGTTGCCACGCTTGGCGAGCGGGTTGACAACCGCAGTTTTTTTATTGTAAGTTTGTTGTTATCAGGAAGATGCTGCTGCCCATCTCCTGCCTGTTTCCCTTTGTCGCCTTTTACGACACCCACGGGAAGATTTGGGGTAGTGGATATTCTTAACCGCCACTACACGGCACAGCGCATATAAAGCACGGGAAAGCTACTACTTACAACGCTGAGATGAAATAATTTCATTTACAATCATCAATAAAAAAAGGCAACACATGCCAATGGCGTCATTTCGAAGTAAGGGTTACGTTGTAACATTTAATCTGTGGTAAGAATAAGCGAAATGATATTAATGAAAGGAACATTAATAGTTTAATATGAAGTAAAATATATATTTTTTATAATAAAAATTAGAATAAATCAAATTGCACCCTATCATATTAAGACAAAGTGATATCTCCTGTTGTGTACCGCATTTTTCAATACTTTAGCTGCTTCGCTACCATTGCAGTTTTGTTTGTTACTTTATTATGGACTGTTTGACTGAAACCATGTATTTGTCGCTGTAAATGTTCCGATATATTTGAACAAGATTGGTGATGAAAAGACTTTGCCTACTTTATTTGGTTGAATATTAATGACCACTTTGGATGTTTCTAAATATTTGATCACCTTGACTGCTACCTCCCTTTTGACGCTGTCTGTACTATCCTCTACTATCCTAGTATCATAATACTCCTATCAATGATAGACTGTAATTAATTAATTAATTAAATATAATATAAAGTTTGGTATACATATAATTTTAAATATTGCGCTGCAGCATCTTTATATTGAACTTTGTAATGCAGGTATGCAACCCGGGCCCGTGGCTTCCGCTACTGTTGCGCCTCCCTCCGCTCCCGCTCCACAGAATAAAGAGTTCAATACTGCTTCTCTATGCAAGTATGTTTTGTTATATTCCAATATATTATCTGTTCAATGTTTGAAAGTTGTTATGGCCTATTCGAAAGTTGTTATTCCTATCGAGATGATTAGTAATCGAAAGAATTTCGGTCGCTAAAATTTACCAGAACGCAGTCTTTCAATGTATAGAAACATGATTTTTAAATTTTTATCACTGAAAGACATTTTAAAAATATTACGGTGATTACAGGAAATCCGTAAAATAGTGGCTTATATATTTTATTGACCTAATTTTTTTAAAGAAAATGAAAATCAAAATTGCAACTATTTTGATTCTAGGTTTGGCCAAGAAACCGTGCAAGACATCGTGAGCAGAACCCAAGATGTCTTCCAGACGTTGAAGGCTATACAACCGCCGAATGGCACACAACACGGAGAAAACGCCAGCAACGACAAAAAAGCAAAGATGCAGGAGCAGCTGCGCACTATCAGATTGCTGTTTAAGAGGCTTCGATTGATTTACGAAAAGTGTAACGAGACTTGTCAGGTATAATGCAAGTTCTTTTTTCCTGTATTGATGACTCTGTTGTATGTTTAAGATTTGATGTATACTTTGTGGACTGTTTAATGGCGGTGTAAGAATACCCACTACCCTATATCACCTCGTGGGTGCCGTAAGAGTCGACAAAGGGAAACAAACCAGGAGATCGGTAGAACACCAAGAAAATAAATAAACAGGGTTTGACAACCCACCTGCCAAGTGTGGCAATTATCCTAAAAATCCCCTGTATATAGTAACTTACATAACTTATATGTCATATCATATCCTCTTCCTTAGGCCTTAATATAAAAATTATAATAATAAATTAAATAATAAAAAAATTAAATGCCTGTCTGTGGATTCTTAAATGCTTATACAATCCACAGATCGACATTAGCCTCTCAAGAATCGCAAGTCGCTAAACGATTTTACAAATCAGACCATTATAACACCATACATCTGAGGCCAAGAGTTTTTTGACATTTCCCATAGGCGGTTCTTTCGATACTACTGGCCGCGATGGAGGCGATGATTGATTATTTAAATAAACAAAGTAGTCCATAAAGCGAAACACCGCAATCTCATATAGTTTTATCGTATTTTTAAATATTTGTGATTTTTATATTTGTGTTTAGTTAATAATAGGTTGAGGAAAAAGTTTCTTCGTATTTTGTTTGTATAAAATTGAAGAGAAATCTCTTTGGTTGTATTCTTTGTATCTGGCTGGTTTTAATATCAATACATATAGGACATTAAGAAAAATAAAAATAAAAGTAAAATACACTTTCCCGCCATTTTAAGAAATTCGATACATTTTTTTTATAGGATAAGGGTGAAAAACGAGCACATAGTCCACCTGATGGTAAGTGGTTGCTGCGGCCCATAGACATCTACATCTATCCTCGTTTGCGAATCAAAATGCAGATGCGTTGTCACCCGTGAGGACTAAGATGGAATGCCTCATTCCCAGTAAAAAGGGCCTCCGGCCACCTGCACTTACCAAGCGAAACGCAGAGGTAAACCTCTACTTCACGCTGGTATTCTGTGAGGTCGTGGTACCAGCCCGGTTCGAGCCGGCCCATCCGTGCGACTGCAAAAGCTGCCGCGTGGCTCTACCACTGTTAAACATTCTGAATTTTTATTACGAAAACGGTAAAAATGCGTCTCAAGCCGCGCAAAAAATTTGTGACGTTTATTTACCTAATGCAGCATCATTAAGAGTAGCACAAAGTTGGTTCAAGGATTTTCAGTCCAGGAATTTTGATGTCAAAGACACGTTCGTTCTGGTCGCCCTCATATGGATAAAATCGATGCCAATTTTGAAAAAGTGGAGCAAGATCAGCATATTAGTAGTTACAATCGAGCGAGACAACAGCCGAGGAATTGAGGATTGACCACAAAATAGTTTTGACCCATTTGAAAAAGTTTGAATATACAAAAAAGCTTTTGGGTACCACACAATGTAACGGAAAGAAACCTAATGAATCGTGTACTCATTTGCTATTCTCTATTGAAACGCAATGAAACTGAACCATTTTTGAAAAGATTGATCAGTAGTGATGAAACGTGGATCACCTATAACAACAACGTGTGAAAAAGAGCATGGTCAAAGTGTAGCCAAGCTCCACAGACAAGTAGCGAAACCTGGATTAACACACGATATGGTTATGCTGTGTGTATGGTGGGGTTGGAAGGGCATCGTTTATTATGAGCTTTTACCGCCGGGCAAAACTATTGATTCGGATCTCTTCTGCCAACGACTAATAAAACTCAAGTATGAAATTGAGAAAAACGGCCGGAATTGATCAACAGAAAAGGAGTGGTCTTTTATCATGATAACGCCAGACCCCGTTCACTTAGCAAAAATTGAGATATTAAATGAAACAAATTTTAACGGATTTTATCGCGTTTAATTTAACTTTTTAATACCCGACGTTTCGGGTGCATTACAGCGCCCACGATCAAGGGGGGGGGGGGGGGGGGTAACTGAGGTGTTTGACCCAATGCCATAGTTTGCCCGGCTACCTTCAGTTTTTGAATATTAATTTATATATGCAGAATGACCTTACAGTACTACTATATTGGTATTTACTTGGGTTTGGATTTAATTTTATTAATTATAGGATCCCAAGCAGATGGCAGCACCCAGCCATCTTCTCTATTGAAATTAGGATATTTTTTAATTTCAATAACCTCGCGAATCATCCTTGGTAGGAATCGGTCTTCTTTTGCGAGGATTTGTAGTCTATCAAATCTAATGTAATGGCAGGGACGATCTTGAGCATGTTCACACACTGCAGACTTTCCGGAACGTTGGTGCTTCGAGTCAGTTATATGTTCTTTCACGCGGGTTTTTTATAGATATTTTTGTTCGTCCTATGTAAGGGAGACCACATTCACAATCCAGCTTGTACACTCCTGCATCTTGTAGAGGGATATGACACTTGACGGATGGTAAAAATTTACTAATCTTCTTCGGCGGCTTGAAGTATGTTTTAATAGAAGCTCGCTTCAAGATTTAGACAACCTTGTCTGTGACTCCTCTGATATAGGGTAGTACAGTAGGCACACGCTCGACTGTGGCCGGCTTCACTCGGTCACTATGACGTAGGCGCGGGACCCGTAGCTTGTTGTCTTGCAATACTTGCTCTACGTGCTGAAGCTCGGCGGTCAGATGTTTTCTATCACACATCCATCGTGCTCTCTGAAACAAAGATTTTCCCACGGTAGCTAACTGTGATGGATGGTGGTGCGATTGACCATTTAAATATATATTGTTATGGGTCTTTTTCCTATACACAGTATGACCAATAGTGTTATCAGGATTTCGGATGACGAAAACATCTAGGAAAGCTAAGGAACTGTTTGCCTCTAACTCCATTTCTACAGCAACGAAATTATGTCACTACCTACAAGATGGCAACAAGTTATCGAACCAAATGGCACATATATGTATATATCTTTATTACATGTAATTAAACTTTGAAAAAAAAAATGTCTATAATCTGTATATAAAATACGAAGAAAATTTTCTCCGACCTATGGTAGTTAGAAGATAATTAATAGAATCAGGCGTTACTTTGCGGAAATCCATTATATTAAAGTTGACAAAAATTACTTTGGGTACATCCGCTCGATAAAATATAATTTAAAATTAAAAATGTTGTACAGCCGATTTCAATATAAGTTATTTAAGAATAACTCAGAAACTATTGGTCTGACCTTGACCAAATACATATGGGACCATACGAGAACTATCAGCTTTCATATAAAAAAAGAATCATCGAAATCGGTTCACCCAGTACAAAGTTATGAGGTAACAGTACCGTCTCCTTTTTGAAAGTCGACAGAAAATTATGTGTCTTACCTAGTTTGAAGAGCACCTCCCGCCCTTCCTCAATAACTTATTTACGACAGCGCGTCGATTACGTCAGCCACCGCAGAGTCTACATCACCTGAAGATGCCTCGTGTAGAGGCGAAACACGTGTCGTATTGTCGTCAGTGGTGTCTTTCCTAGTGTAGTGGTCTTTGGAGTAGTGGTGTTGGGATTAGTGGTGACGGGGATAGTGCACCCAATTAAAGAAAGGCGGGAGGTGCTCTTCAAACTAGGTAAGACACATCATTTTGTTTTACTGAGCGGATGTACGCGTGGTAATTTTTTACCGACTTTAGTAGTTAGAAAAGTCAAAGGCCAGCCATATTACGATTCGAAGTACTAACAACCAATCTATACATACATACATCATACAAATAAATAAAATTAGTGTCTGTTTGTAATGTCAAAATTACAGCTTTTTACTAAATGCATATGAAAATGTATACGGTACTAATAACAAAAATACAATTTTTAAAGTTTTTGTCTGTCTGTCTGTCTGTTTGTTCCGGCTAATCTCCGAAATGGCTAGACCGATTTTGACTGGCAGATAGCTGATGTCACAAGGAGTAACTTAGGCTACTTTTTTTTTAGAAAATGAATTAGGGTTCCGACAAAAAAATTAAAACCCCAAATAAAACGTGGGCGAAGTCGCGGGGAACAGCTAGTAGGAAATAAATGTTCTGGAGACTTCCCTCTGGACGTGACGACCTACTCTAGCATGCAGTAAGTTAATAGGTGCAGGTGGTTCAAGACCGCGTTTTACAACAATCTATGGGGAAGACTTTTTAAAAGAGAGAAATAGTGATAAGCTCAAATGAGAAATTAAAAAAAAACAATATTTCGGTTTAAATTTATTTTTCAGGGCATGGAGTACACACACATGGAAAGTCTCATACCGCTCAAGGACGAAGCAGATAATAAAACGTTAGACGAGAGGCGGAACACAGAGTCTTATAGACTGGCACTAGAAGAAAACAGAGAGCTTACTGAACAGGTACTATTACTTTGTGATATAATATTATTACCCAACTGCCCCAGAAGGTTTCTACGTGGTAGAGCCATGCTGCAGCTATATTAGTAGCATAGTTGTAGCACGACTGGGTCGCCTTGATCGGGGAAGCCACGCTCTCACAGTATACCAGCGTAAAATAGCAGCCTAACACTGCTGTGTTTCGTATGGTGAGTGTAGAGAGCAGAAGACCCTTTTTACTGGAAAAGAGGCATTCCATCTTAGTCCTCATGGGTGTCAACGCATCTGCATTTTGATTCTTTATTGAGGATAGATGTAGATGTCTACGGGTCACAGCAACCACTTACCCATCAGGTGGACTGTGTACTCGTTTGTCACCCAATCCTATGAAAAAAAAAATTAAAACGTTCAATTCCTGCAATAATATTATATTTTATATTATAATGTGCGCTGATTTAGAATGGCCTAAGAGCCACCCCAGCCGCACCTTGACTGACTCACTGATATTGCGAGTTTTTACCTAGTCTGAACTTTAAATCAGGCAAAACCACTTTTGACTAAGTTACCATCTGCTTGGGATCCCATAATTAATAAAATTAAAAGTTTACGATCTTTGCGTAGCACCTGTATTATCCGAAGGCGGCGTAACTAGCTCTAGTTAGCTGTGCAACGACAGCTTGGCTTAAACTCTGTTGCAAAAGGACAACCAAGTCCTGCAAGTGTGTATTAATTTTATCGATGAATTATGAAGGTGCGTTACCGTGTAGTGGCCATCTCATCTCCACTTTTGAATCGATTTTTCTGCTCACCAGTTTATTTTAAAGTTACAACTCACGTTACAAACCAAATTATCCCACTGCTGGGCACAGGATTCCTCTCAATTTTAAGAGAGTTTTAGGTCAAGGAAATGTACACCGCGCTGCCTCAATGTGTGTACTGTAAAGCGTCAAATCCGGGTTGCTTGTGTACTGTGAAATTTATAACGAGTGCTTTGCCGCAGAGCTACCAGTTCTCAGCACATTTTAAGTGCTTTTTATTTTTATTTATTGTAATCTAACACTTGTGTCGTTTTTTATAGGTGGTTCTTAAAAACAAACAACTGAAGGAAGTGATAACCAATTTAAGGACAATAATTTGGGAAATTAATGTGATGTTGACAATGCGGAGATCATAAGTTGTAAACTATTATATGTAAAGTGTTTTTTGAACTTTAATAGATATTAAGAAATTGAGTGAATGGTCGGAGAATTGTTGGTGTAAAATGTAAATAGAGGATGGAATAGAGCAGGAATAATAGACATGTTATACGATGTATTAATTGTTAATTTTGTTGATGAAATGTTTTTTTAAACTGTCAATATAGTTTTATGTACATGAACACAAAATATGCATGAAAAAAAGTGAAAAGTCATTATTGAGAGACAGGCATTTTTTGTTATCCTCACAGACAGTTACCAGCATTGTAAATATAAAATCCGTGAGCTCAGAAAGCGTTTTATTTGTTTTAAATAACATTTCATTATTATTTTTTACTTGGTAGAACCATGCTGCAGCTATCTTATGGTTGTAACACGAATGGGTCGGCTCGACTGGGCTACCACGCTCTCACAGAATACCAGCGTAAAATAGTAGCTTAATGGTGTTGTGTTTCGTACGGTGAATGTAGAGAACCGGAGATAATTTTTACTGGATACAAGGCATACCATGTTAGTCCTCAGGGGTGACAACGCATTTTGATTATTAATCGAGGATAGATGTAGATGTCTATGGGCAACAGCATTCACTTACCATTAGGTGGGCTGTGTGCTCGCTTGTCACTCTACTTATCAAAAAAATAAAAAATCACTTATAAATAAAGTTATTGCAATGAAAATAAGTGATATTAAATCTGGGAGTTTAGATTTGGTGTCAAATATTTTCAGAGCTTTTTTCGGGCTAATTCGGTTCTTCGGTTAATTCCCCTGATGTGGCGGTTGTTCACGGGCGGCGGTAGTCCCTTATCATCAGGTGAGCCGCATGCTCGTTTGCCCACTCTCCTATAAAAAAAAAACTGGGGAGCCCCGCCCAGAGATGGATACAGTATTCCATGTGCGGCCGAACCTGCTAAAATTGCAGGCGGTGTGCCGGCATGAAATACTGTCCCACTCTGCTGAGCGCGCCTAGCTGTTTAGGGGCCAAGTTGGTCTTCTCTTCCAAGCGACTACGAAACTACACGTCACTCGATATTCTGGGTTACTCAGTAATTCTACAAATAGACGACAATGCATAGATATTTTGATTCTTTGATTCATTACTGTGGGCTCGAGTGTAAATGTCGTGTGGATATTAACCATCAAAATATCGGTTTTTGTTGTTCCTCATTTTTAAATAAAAAGCATTAATGTAAAGAAAACATTTTAATAAACAATCTTATAAACTCTGTTCGTTGTTTATATTTGTGAAGGCAGCACCTCTTGTGTAAATAATGTATGTGTTTGGCTTAACCTTAATTCCTTACATACTGGACAAAGTTTATGTATAGAATGTATAGATTGTCTATTATCAGCATTCTCTGACCTTGCTTGGGGTCTTAACTATAATGTTACACAAATGGTCGCGAGTACGGAGTGATAGCGTTGGCAGGCCCAGACAACGATTAACTGATGGACCAATCACGTGAAACCAAAGAGACAAGTGTGCAGGTCAAGTTTGTGCTAACGACCCGTGCCGGTATTACCCACCTGCCAAGGAAGGGTTATGTTTTTCGCGCGTATCTTGTATGTATGCTTGTAGATTTCATAATTACCTCGTATCTTCTAAACGGCTGGATGAATTTCGACAGTTAAGAGGATTGTGAAGCTGTAAATTTTCATACAAAAAGCGATAACGTTTTTAAAGAAATATTGCATACGATATAAGTTATTAGGCATATAAATATCTATATTATTGACTTAAAAACTTCCTCGAGCGTTTTTATTTATTAAATTAAACTAAATTGAATTACTAAAAGAGTAAAACGTATAGAGCTAGATTAAAGCGTATTAAACCTAATAAGACCAAAATTGTCTTACTTCGTAAAGGTTTAGAGGGGTAAAAACGTTACCGCCGGGAACACTGCAAGACTTGCAATTCTCTCTATCGCACGATACGGGTCAGGGCAGGTGTAGTGATGTTGGAGGTGTTATCGATCATATTATCGCCTAGGGAGGAGAAAGTAATATCGATAACCTACAAAGATAATACCTTTCATGAAAAAATTTATATCTGTGATTATTAAGTATTTATCGATTCATCATCATCATTATAGCCTTTCATAAGTCCACTGCTGAACATAGGTCTCCCTCAAGGAATGCCACAAAGCACGGTCCTGAGCCACCTGCATCCATCGACTTCCTGCATGTCTTACCAGGTCGTCACTCCATATAGTGGGGGGTCGCCCTACACTTCGCCTACCGGTACGAGGCTGCCACTCGAGAACCTTTCTTCCCCATCGGTTGTCGGTTCTTCGAGCTATATGGCCGGCCCAATGCCACTTCAGCTTACTAATCCGTTGGGCTATGTCGGTTACTCTGGTTCTACTGCGGATATCCTCATTTCTAAATTTATCACGCAGAGAAACCCCGAGCATAGCCCTCTACATAGCTCGCTGAGCGACCTTGAGCTTCCTCATACGGCCAGCAGTGAAGGACCATGTCTCAGATCCGTAAGTCATCACTGGCAACACGCACTGGTTGTACAATTTCGTTTTCAGGTTTTGAGGTATGTCTAACGAGAAGATGTGTCGTGGTTTCCCGAACGCTGCCCAGCCGAGTTGAATCCGTCGATTGACCTCTCGGTCGAAGTTGGACTTACCTAGTCGGACTATTTGTCCCAGGTAAACATACTCGTCAACAACTTCGAGATTAGTGCTCCCAACAACTACCGGCATAGGTGTGACATGGACGTTAAACATGATTTTAATTTTGTCCATGTTCATCTTAAGACCTGTCCGTTTGGAGACACTATTGAGGTCATTGAGCATAGTGCTTAGGTCCTCCAGCGATTCTGCCATAAGGACTATATCGTCGGCAAATCGAAGGTGAGTGATGTACTCGCCATTGATGTTAATACCGCATCCTTTCCAGTCCAGTAGCATGAAAACGTCTTCCAATGCAGCGGTGAAGAGTTTCGGGGATATAACGTCACCCTGTCTTACACCTTCTCTGCAGTTGGATTGGTTTCGTACTCTGATTCTGTACTCGGATAGCCATCGTAGCTCTACTGTACAAACACTTCAGCACTACGATATACCGACAGTCAACTTGGCACCGCTGAAGGGACTGCAGCACCGCCCGAATTTCGACGGAATCAAAGGCTTTCTCATAGTAGTAGTTTATCGATTATTTAGTATTTATTTTAGAGTCTATTGCATAAGGACGAAATTAAAAAGATTTCTAGTTTACAATAAGGCAATAAGGTAGGCGAATAAATAAAAAATGAACAAATTGAAGAAATTATTATTTTGTGTTATTAGTACATATTAACTGCCAGTTTCCTAGGAACTCTAGGGCAATCTGTTCTGGTAATAAACATTAAAAATAAAATGAGTAAGGTTTTGACTGTATTTTTGCTGTCCAAAAGTGGTCATCGTACTTAATTTTCCTACGTCAAACTGTGGTTTATTAAATTAAGTACGAAAAAATGAAAAAGTTGTGTAAAAAGAATAGGTATTCAAAATCGGTCCATAATTGACGGAGAAATCGGTGAACATACATAATAATGAAAAATTAAAAATTTTGTACAGCCGACTTCAATATAAGTTATTAAGAATAACTCAAAAACTATTGGTCTACCCGTGATTAAATTCATATGGAACCACACTAGAAGTACCAGCTTTCAAACTGTTTAGGCCAAACAATTAACATTAGAAATTTGCATTCAACACTCGTGTCCGCCCGCTGACTTTGTAAAGGTCACCGTTGCCCCACTCCCGTGTGCGTCGCCCGGCAGAGGGCGCGGGCGCAGAACGCGAGTGCGAAAACAGTAGCTTTAGTGCAGCGGCGCCGTCGCAACGTAACGTTTTTGTGGTGACCGTGGCAGCGATTTCGTGTGACCAGTTTTGGTTTTATGGTCTAGATTTTCAGTATTTGTGCGCGTTACTTCGCTACCGAATTGTGGTTCGTGAAGACCGCCTCGGTTTAGTTTTGTCTAAGTTGTGCGTTCGCGACAAGAGGCTTATTTTGAATTTGAGTGATTAGAGTAATTTCGTTGCAATTGTACCGTCGACTTAAGTGCCTCTCATTTTTGCGTTGTTTTTTTTGTTTGTTTTACGTGTCAACGAGGCTGAATTTTGAGTTTGAGCGATTAATTAACGTCGTTACAATTAATTAGCGTCAAGTGGTATAGTGGTTGCATTCTGACAATATTAATTCGCGTCAACGAGTTGCTTTGTGCCATTTGATTTAACTCGGAGATATTTTCCTGTGTCGGTTAAAACCGATAAATTTGTGACCCGCGAGAACCAGCGTTCGTATTAGATTATATATTTGTGCTAATGGACGCTAGACTGAGTGAAACCGAGTGACGCCGCTGGAGTAATACCACATAGAGTGGTGGTGCTGGAGTCAGGGTTGCTGCTGATTAAAAGGGCTAATTCAGGTTACACATATATACACTTTTCACACACTACTTACATTCACTACACTTAACGGCTGAACGAGCCTTGTGGTCCTTTTTCGTCTCTGAACAGGTACGTACTATTTATTTACCTAGCTTTATCACTGTCGTGTAGGTCAACTCTCCATAAGGCCATTTGGGCCCCGTCCTTAATTATCAGTCGAGTCTACAGCTGTATGGGCCCCTGTATAGTCGACCTTTGTCGGGACAGCTAAGGGCGTGTACACAAACAAAAAAAGAATCGTCGAAATCGGTTCACCCAGTATAAGTTATGAGGAAGTTATAAAAACATACAGTCGAATTGAGTACCGTCGCCTTTTTGGAAGTCGGCAGAAAAAGAACAAAAATCATACAGCCGAACGTAGACCTCCTCCTTTTTTGAAGTAGTATCGACATCAGCTATTCCATACTTTTAAATTTTGTGGAATAAATTTCGGTCTATCACCTACCAGTCAATCTATGTACAATAGTATGTAAGGTGGTCAGGTACGCGATCAAAGTAAGTACGCGTACTTACCTATTTACCTGTTGATTTTAGAAGTTAGCGTTGCCCAACCTTTTGATTTACGAAGCAAATTGCATTTTTATAGTTTTGTCTATAATATTTCTCTTCTATTTTAAAGCTATAAAATTATTTTAGTTGAATGAATATAATACTCACCGTAAATACAGGCATTTACCTTAGGCAGGTATTTTTAACAGCTTACTTTTATGATGTATATGTAGTAAGTCCCTATTTAATGTCTACATAGAATATGCAATATAATAAAATTGCAAAGTAACAAATTGTTCTAAATGTACGCAAATAGGATAGGCTATCAATGAATGAACGTTCCTGCTGCTGCTATCGT